TATATTAATTATATTATATTTTATATATTATATTAATTATATTATATTTTATATATTATATTAATAATATATTAAATACAGTTTTTTAAACAGATAATTATATCCTATATAAAGATATGTAGATATTGAATACCATATAAAATATATCTATTGTGTATTAGTTTAAATATATAATATAACAATATAAAGTATGTCTAAACAGATATAAAATATATCTAAAAAGATATTAAAAATATATTAAGACTATTAAAAAAATATAAAAATATATTGAAAATATTAAAAAAATATAAAAAGACATAAAATATATAAAAAGACATTATATAAAAATATATAAAATATATAAAAATATATAAAATATATAAAATACATAAAATATAAAAAATACATAAAATACATAAAATAAATAAAAATACATAAAATATATAAAAGTCTAAAGATATAAAAGTACAGGGAAATATATAAGATTAAATAAAAATATATATATAAAATAAAGTGTGCAGCCAATGCCAAGAACTCCTGTGCTGCTCTTCCCTCTGGCACATCCCTAATTGCTCCCTCCAGAGCTCCTTCCCTATTTTTCCTGCTGCAATGTCGTTCCAACCAAATTAAACCCAGCCAAGAACAAGCTCCAGATGTGAGGAATTTGTGAGGAATTCCCAAAGGTAAAAAATTCAGGTTTCCAAAAAAGCTGGGAATTTTTGCCACCATCGTCCCTTCCTTCCCAACCTCCCTGGAATTTTCAAACCGAGCCTGAACTCCGGGATAATCAATATCCAATAGTTCCAACGGCAAAATAATCCTGATTTTCTCCTTCAAATCCCTGTCTCAGACCATCCAGCACTTCCAGGGAAACAGGAGGTTGGGAATAAATCTGCTTTTTCCCCCAGGATTTAATCCAGACTCCTAAACATGCAAAATTCCCACATTAAGGCTTTTTAATTTCCATCATCTTAACTCCACCTGTCCCTCCCAATTCCCAACTCCAGTTGCTTCCATGAGAAGGAAAAACATCAAACCCCCTCCCCTCGAAACACCAAACCTGCCAGGAGCAGGTGGTGGGAATGTTGGACAGGTTATGGATTGAAAACCCGGCAGGAGAACTTTATTCCCTGGGACCAGGAGTGTGGTTGCTGTTCCTAAACCCCACATTCCAGGGGCAGTTCAGCCTGGAAAAGCCCGGGAAGGATGAGGAGTTTGACAAGTCCAACAATTCCAGAGGGGACTTGGAGAGGTAGAGCAAGAGATGGGAGAGGGAATGTTCCAGACCCCTAATCCCAAGGGATTCCGGGGGTTTGGTTTCCACTCCAGAGGGTGGACACAAAATGGATGCTTTCCCAGGAAACACCACCTTCATTCCCAAACTATTTCCCCGGCCACTGAAAAATTCATTTCCTGGAGATTTTAATTGTTCCCACAGATGCTCTCGGGGCTCATTCCAAAGGATTTAAAGCGTTCCCTGCACGGAGGGATTGGGAATGACAGCCCAGCCTCCCAAACCTCAGCCCAGCCTCGGGAATTCTGCCTGAATTCAGTGGGAAAAGCCTGGAAAATACAACTTCCCCAGCCCAGATGGGGCCCACCAGCCTGGATTAATTCCTGGGAAGGAGTTGGAGTTGCCTTTAATCCCGGAAAAATGCTTTGGAATTACTTGGCTGGTTCAGCAGCTCCTGAAAAGCTTTTTTGTCTCAGCTGAACCACTGGATTTTCCAGCTTTCTTTGGGCATTTCCCCTTTGGAGTTTGGCTTTTCCCAAAGTTGTGGGATAAACCCCAAGGACCAAAGAAACTGGTGAAGGATGAAAATTATCCCTAAATTTCATACATTTGAAAATTAGAGTCATAGGATCATAAAATCAGGGAATTTGGCTGGAAAGGAGCTTAAAGCTCATCCAGTTCCAACCCCCTCCCCCATGGAAAACCAAGCTCCAGTTTAATCCCTGGATTTTCCAGTATCCCAAAGCCTCCCTGCAAGTACAACAGGTTCAATCCAGCCTTTTCCATGTTTAATCATGGATAATGAGATCCCACATGCAAAGGAAGGGAATTACCATCTTTCCCACATCAAACAACCCCAGACCTGTTCTCCCGAGCCCGGGATAATTCCCATTGATGCCTCCCAGCCCTCCCACCGGAGTCACTCATGGATACCATGGAAACACAGCTCCAGCTCCCCAAACGGAGGGAATTCCGCACTTCCCACCTCTCCAAGGTGAGCTTTCACCTCCTCCAGCTCGTTCCAAGCCCGGAATGCTGCAGGAGTTACTCACGGTCCGAGGAGGGCGAAGGAAAAGCTCTGGAAATCTGGGATTTAGGCTGGAAAGCCCCAACCCCCCCTGAGCCGGAGCAGCTCCCGCTTCCCGTTATCCCGACACTCCTGGAAGCAGAGCCATGTGCAGCTGCAGCTGCGAGTTCTTCCACGGGATCAACATTAACCGTTTAGGGAAAGGCTGGAATCGCAGCCAGGAATTCCAGCTCGCCCCAGGAATTCCAGCTCCCCCCAAACACACGCGGATTAAAGCCGGGAACGGGGAGAAGGGGCTCCTCTCTTACCTTAGGAAAGGGAGGGCTGGGAATTCTAATGCATCTCCGGGTTTTCCAACTTCCAAAATAGATCCCTGGGAGGCTTCAAGCGGGTCTCCAGCTCCGTGTTCCTGCGGGGATGTGGAGAGAGGGAAAAAACCAGGGAAGATTGAGGTGCTTAAGGATCTGGCGGAGCCTCCAGAGCCTCCGGAGCGGAGTGTTCGCCTCCTTTATCCCTCAAATCCTCTTATCCAGGGCTGTGCTTCCCAAGGCAGCCGGGCTGCTGGATTCCAAGGCTCTGCTCCTGCACGGAAGGCTCGGGAGCAGGGATGTCACTTCCTCCAGCAGCACATCCCGCTCCCCTCCCCAGCCCGCCCCGCTCCGGAGCGAATCCCGAATCCCGAATCCCGA